ATAGTGTCTAGATATTTGTCCGTGACTTCGTTTTGCCTTCTGATTACCAAGTGTCAATCGCGCACTCTGGTATCTACAGGGAAGATGTGGATCTGTAAGATGTCTTATAAAACACTTATTTATATATTACTTATATTTTTGCCTCAATCACGACTTAATCTACTTACATTGCGCTGCCACAGGCTAGGACTTGAATCGCTTGCAATTCATCATCATATTCAGACTTGAATCGCTTGCAATTCATCATCGTACTCAGACTTTTGAATCGCTTGCAATTCATCATCGTACTCGGAATGCCAAGCCGCTGCAGCAAACGAATAAGAGCGTTAACAAATATCCTCTGGAAAAGCACAATAATTTATATATTAGCTTTTATATACATATATGGATGGATATGCTGTAGCCCGTAATTGCAATTTGATAAATACCTTATCATGAAGCGGCTGATGTTGACATGTCGACATAGTCTTTATCCTTATCTTCTTCAGAAAGCCTTTTGGGCTTTGACCATTTAAGCCTTAACTTTTAGGCGGTTCTTTTGCCTGTCGTCTCTTCTTTTTCATAATCCTCTATTGAGTGAGTGTGAATGGTTAGAGGAGACTCAACACGAATAAATAACACGCGCTGGCGGACTACTTACCACAACTATGTAATAGTAAGGATATAAAAAATGTACAGGTGAAAAATGGTCTTTCCTCATCCAACCAAGGGTCGACAAGTCAGACAAGGATAAAGACTATGTCGCAAGTCGGACATAGTATTAAGAAAAAGGTGAGGGAAAAAATAGGCCCAGCTAGAAGATTTTGTTAATATTAATATTAACCTAACGCTAATACTAACACTAAATAACCGTATTAGTATTAGGTAAAAAAAATCCGATCACGGTAAAAGTGGCGGATTTTAATTTATACAAAAATGCATGTGACTGAACCAATTAAGAAACGGCACGCCGATATATCAGATTTCGCTTGATTTCTATTGGTTAATATATGTTTATCAATATGTCAAGTGATTATAATGCAAGGTATTATTCTTTTCGTCATCAATAATCTGAACTATTGATAAACGAGTGCTGTAACAATATTAAGTTCAAAGTTAATATTACTCACGAGCTTTATTAATACTTTTATGCATGGTTCTGCTTCGTTCCCGTGTTCGAAATTGTTTATTTTAAAAATGTCGAGATATTAGGCAAATAGTAAATAATTTTTTGGGTGGCAAATTTGCCAAATAACTTTTATGAGTTGACGAGTGTGGGCTGTTAATACACACTTTTATAAAGATTTATTAATAATCCTCCATTGTGTTTGCTAAAGCTGTTCATATTACAGCAGAACACTATGACTATATAGTAATTTATTTATTCTAATATTCTATTGAGTCGTGTTTCCATTCAATCTTCTTTGCTATCTTGTCCAGATTGGGACTAGTAGCGTAACTCAGTCTCATCTGAGACTCGATTCCTGTACTACCAAGAGATTGTGAATATCATACTGTATTCTTTGTCATTGCAATTCGACACTGGTAATTACTATTTATAAGCCAAACAGTATTTGATTTTTCTTGCTGTACCTCAATATTCAATTTTGTTATTGATCAAATTGTCAATAATAATAAATGATAAAAACAAACTGCGTACTTGCAGCCAACGAAGAAATTTAAATTTTCAATTGAGGTGCATTTATTTTACATAAAATTTTAGTGATCAATTATTAACTCTCCTCTTCCAATAACAGCCTCTAAATGCCTTTTATGCCAGAACGTAAATTTGATCGAATATTATTTATCGATATTATCTCATATTGATCAAATAATCATAAAAAAATTTTTTTGTAGAATACCCTTTTTCCTACCATTCTCTCATTATTTATTGCCCATAAGTTTTTTATAGGGTTCGGGTGAGGTAAATAAGAAGGTTAATCAAAAAAATTTCGAACACTTTTCTTTAGTAGCTTCTTGGCTGGCTGGGATCTTTATCTTGTTGGAAATTCATAATTTTCTATCAGTGTTGATGTATTTGAGAAAAAAAAATTTTTTTGTTAAAATTTCAGCTAAAATTCGTTTTTAATAAAACAGTTAGATTCAACAGCTTTTTATGAACAAGGAACATCTTTCCGCAATAAGTTTTTTGACCTTCTTGAACATAATTTCGATTTAATGGAAGCTAATACTGAACGTTTTTATACAAAATGGGTAGGGGAGTATGTGTTATCTTATGACGCTGAGATATATTATGAATTCCGTTTTTTCACAAATTATCGACATTTGAACATCTTTGGGTTAATGTAAGTTAATTAGACATTTTTTTATAGCAAAAATTATGAAAGCAAACAAAGAATGCATTGTTGGTCCAAATATTATTTTTATTCATATATTTATTATCTGATGTAACTGTCTATATCAGATATATAAAGTTTTCATAGTAAACAAAACAGAGAGTATGTAAATCTTAGCTAAAGTAATTGCATGATTTTCTCATTATTTTCCGCCGTCACTGTAGATACCTCGAAATTGATTATAACCACAACAAAAATTCCTTTTTAATTTTAAACATAATTAATATAAATACATCGAACATGTCAATATCAATGAATAAGAAGCAGTAAACTGTTCAGTCTTATAGCATACCGTTCTGGTATCAACAATTACAGATGTAAGGTTTGCGTTTCTGCAATTACAGATTATAGATGAGATGGATAAACGATTAAATGTAAAAAGTGCGGGCATGTGACTACGGCGTTGACAGTTAGAGTTCCTTGTATCCCCAGTTTCCCACAATACCAATTTCCCGACCTTATAGTAGTAATCTATTATATGACACCGCTCTCTCCTCATTCATTATATACATAATTAATTAATTCCTAGCGTACCTATATATTTTTCGCTTCACTGCTTATGTACCTTTGTAGCATGTTCATTCTATAGCTTTCATATTCATTATGTAGTATGGAAATACCAATATACTTGATTGCTAATTAAACTGCAATGACTGCCTCTACTCTTATCGATGGATCAATTCGATAGTCTGTAGGTACGGTCAAGGAATGTTTATATCAAAGTAAACGCGTTTATAGGCAATCATATTTTTGTCAACTCGGAATTCGATAGACAAGATCGAATTCTCACTTAGTAGCTAAATCTACGGTTTACGCGCAAAGGGACACTGATTATATGCTAAACCAGTAAATATAATTTATTGAGTACGAAGAGCTACTCTAATTAATACAGTTGATCGATCTGAAGGATTGTGGATTATATCAATGATCTGATCCGTCGATACGCGATTTTCCGATTTTCTAGCTAGCGAAATTAGCAACTAGTACTATTAAATTGAATTTTGCAAATTATTGTAATTTCAAAGACTATTTCTCACTAGTACGAAAGTGAGATGAATGACGAAATATATGTATAAATAACTATTCATCGTATATTATTTACTTTTCGCGCAAATGTTTTGCGTTACACTCACTACGAAATCCTTCTACTGCGGCTTATATTTCGATGACGTACGCATATCGTAGATCGGAGATTTCGGAGCTTTCCCTTTTCCATAATATTAATATACCCTCCTCTATGTCTTATCAAAAAATTACATATGTAAAATATCGTGTGTAAAAATCGAACCTACCGGAGTACAAATCATTTTGTGCTCTTCATACTGTAAGGAAGCATCTTATTTCTGCTACAGATGATAAACCAAATGGAAGCAGTTAGGCTGCATTATTAAGATTGAAGCTGAAGACAAAATCTGTGGATGATATAACAAGCCAGCCAGCCCAGTACCATGTCAACCAATATATTCAATCCCAAGAAACATGATTTGCTAGAAAACTGATTGAGAAATTTGTTGTCAGCCAAGTATTGATAAGAAAAATAATATTTATACAACAATGAGAATTTGATACCATGTGGACTAACTTTGTGGAGATAAATAACAGATAAGATGATAAAGTGATGGAATTGGCTATTAACTTAGTCTGATATTGATCTCAACACAGCAGAACCCTTTCAAACAAAAAGGCTTACAGGAACATACCAATTCACGAACTTCAATGGATGGTTAGTTAGTTGATGAAAACCAGGTCTCTGATAATGACACTATACAGCAATTGGGGAAATTATTCTTCAAATTGTAGAAACATCAGCAGAAATTGCCAACATAAACAGCAATGGAAATATTTTATAAATAAGGTGATCTACAATCAATGATTGACATTATGGATATAACTGGTTATCCTGATATCCACATGAAGATTCCCATGTTGCCAGACTTCAATAGCTGCTTCCTCAACCCTTTATATAGCCCAAAGCTTGTGCAATACTTCTCCCAATAATGGAGCATCTTATTCAAGCAGGAGAGACAAATGGCAGCAAGTGCAATACTTTTTATTCTCTCAACAATAAACCAATTTTATTCAGACAAACAGTTCAATAGAAGGGTCTGGTCAGTGAGGAGGGTCAAATAGAGGTATTAGCATTAGTATTAGCATTAGAAAATAAAAGGAAAATAAGTGAACAGCAAAGAAAGAAAAGAGTCAGCATATATATATTATATTTAGAATTAGTAATTATTTTAAACCTTTATTAATTAAAATGTTCATGTACTTTAATGTTTTCTGTATTAGTATGGAGTTAATATATTGGTTTAATGGAAATAATAATACCATTATAAGATTGTTTATATTGTCAATAAATTCAATAGTGAAAGCCTTATTTCCACACTACTATAATACATGTACATACTAATACCAGTTTTTACCAAAATAAAGAAGAGTTGAAATAAAAATACATTTTTTGAAAAGTTTTTGAATAATAATAAAGCCATCTTTCTCCTCTTGCAGATTCTAGTTTGTTTACCAATCTCAGCTTCTTATTCTGTATAACTAGATAGTAATTCAACATCTTTAGTTTCAGTTTGTATTTGATGTACCAAGTACTAACATGTTCATCGATAAGAAGCACAAATTATATTGCTTACTAGACATATTAAAATGTCAGTATTGCTTAGTGGGGTACATTCTAACTCAAATTGCTGTCCATTCTAATTCACCAGAATAATATTCAGAAACTCTCATATTAATATACTAACTGATTATGATTGAATGATACCTATGCAACCTAATAAAATTGTAAAGATCAGGTCACCATCTGCTCTCTGACTTGGAAGCATCCAAGCAAAATATATTGTAGTAAACTTTCACAAACAACCATTTCGTTAACAGCTGCAGTTATTATATATATATATATAGGGCATTGGTAATGAATACTTATATATAGTTATAAGTATTTTGTTATAAATAATTTAATCTCCGATTGCTAGAGCATATTTGTCTGTATGCACGTGATAAAATTTTTATCCCATCTTGAAATGGGGCGATAATGGTTACCTAATGGTTGTCATATTGGGTTAATAACTCTTTATTCGTATCAAATAAAATGCATTTGTCTAGAATTATAAAAACGAACTCATTCAATAAGAGCGTCTGAGAACGATTATGAAAAATCCTTGAAATGATGCGTCAAATTAATTGCTCTTTATATTCTTCGATTAGGAGGAGGAATTATTGTTAGTCTGTTCACGGTAGTCAAAGCTGTAGACTAAGTGAACGCTGGAATATAAGAAAAAAATATTTTGCAGTTCAACGTTTAAACGCAGTATACGAGTATGACTTTATTCCTTAACAACTTACTTTATCTCTCAGGTTCCTCTGAGAAATCGATATTACTCGGGCCAATAGGCTTAACGTGCTTTGTTTGTGTAGAAAAACGATATTAGAGTTACTTTTCCCCGCATTAAAAACAGATGCACGATTATAACAATTTTACATACGTTTGCTGGAATGTTCCAATATGGCCATTTAAGTCACCCTTCCACCATTCATGGTTCTGTTCTAGAACAGCGACAACACTACCTTTTTGAAGTGATATTTCATCGCGTTTGCGAACCACATAATCATATTCCACGATGGCAATCCTGGGAACTGGTACGTCGTAAAATTTAGCGTCGATATTGACTGACAAAAGATTGTTTACAAATAAAAATGTTGCATACCATAAAGTTCTTTGTAAAGTTCCTCGACAAGGTAAAGGCAAATGCGTAAAGTATGAGAAATTCGAATTGCAATCAATCCACTCCCGCTCGACCATAATCATTTCTGATTATACAATTGAAGGGAAAATTCCTTCTTCGCCAGTATCTTTGATACCATAATACTAGTCATCTTTTATTTTCTCCTCAACTTTCACAATTTCGCCAAAACTAAATGAAAGCTCATCTTCGTTTATCCCGTTGTAGTCGGTATGATCAGCGACGAATATTTCGTCTGCGCGAGGTCAACAGTAATGACGTAATTAGCATAAACAAACTTGCCTTCTTGAGAAGCAAGAGACTAATGGTACCAGTCACTGTGATTAAGTTTTGCGTTGCGTGAATGAGAGATACAATTGAATTGTATGCATCACCGCATGAAATGGTCGGACAGATAAATAGTCGCCACGTTGCGCCAACAAATTCTTTACAAAATGAACGATACAGTGGATCTGTCTGCTGATGAACTAATGATAGCGAACTATACTCCAGTGCATCTGTGAGGAAGGCTCCAAGGTTGAAATGTTGCTCTTTCTCTTTTTATTTTATAATACTCGCGTGACGACTACCTAAGTAAGTCGACAAGCAAGTGGCGACGAATCATATTTCGATTAAAGGAAGGGGGTGACCTTGTCGTACGTAAAAGTGAAAAAGAACATTGGCTCTTTGGTTTTCCTCCTTTGTATGGTAATAGTATACGTACGCTAGAAGCAGCAAACTTCGCATAGAGTCATCGCAAAAAAAAAAAAAAAAACAACGATAGATCGACTCGTAATCTATCAAGGACAGTACAAACAATTTGTTAAAATACGATAGTTCGACTCGTAGAGAGGTGGCGAATTATGCGAGGATTAGTGAAGATTCCACAAGCCCCGACCAATGGGACGACTTGCTTACGCCTGACACTTGGCTGTCTTTAGATCATATTAATATCTTCTTTACTTATGAGCAATCACAAGCATATCCACGCCTTTCCCACGTACTTGTATGCTAAGCTATCACTCAAATATGACTATGTGTCTGTGCAAATATGGACAAAGAAGACATGTAGTCAATTGCGTTTGTTCCGGTCAACGTGACTGAGAATCACTGGCTTCTGGTTGTCATATGGATCAAAGCTGAACGACGCGAACAGATTGAGATATGGGATTCCATGGGAGGGGAAGAGTAGATCTTGAAGAGATATCTCATACGAGATATATGGAAGACCGTGAACAATGCAAGCTCGACGATTACTAAATTGAGAACGAGATAGAAAAGTGGCACCGGTACTGTCAAGTTTGATACTCAAACTCCGCATTCAAAACAGACAGATGGTAGTTCTTGTGGGTTCTTGTTTGTTTATTTGTGTTGGCAGAGGGCTACAAAGAGACTGCGAGTATAAAGAATCGCTTTCAAGTATTAGATATGCATTCATTTACGCAGATTTTGAACAAGACTAATCCTCTAATTAAATTTGAATGCAAACACTCTCAGGCGACCAAAGACAACGCGTTTGAAGTGCTTCAGGTGTCAGATTAAAACTCGTTTCTCTTTCCATTAATATAATTAACAGGAGCATATTTTGCCTGTAAATTTATAAATTTATACTTTTATTTATTTGTTTGTTTGTTTATTGTTAAAAAAAATTTTTTTCATTCTATTTACTTTTTTAATTAAATGAATTTTATTTAGACTAATTTTTCTATTATTAATTATATCAAATTTTAAGAGATTACAAATGCAAAAATTTTAAATTTTAATTGTAAAGTAAGAAAATAAACAGACGTCCAGCAACCGCTGTTCTGAATGGTGACGTTTACGGCTTGAGGTATATTCAGCTTATAGAGCATTCGACGAGAGGCGTTTTCAATGCCTTGACTGATTTCGAAGGCTTTGTCCAAAGAATGCGCCGGAAAAAAACTTTGTTCTTCAGCAGACGACACCCCATTGTGGATGTCATCAGACAGACTTTATTACGTTCGTAGGAACGTTTTTACTGGCCATGGCACAGACATAATTGTCAAGTGCCTCGAATCGATATGCTGACGGCTCTTCCCGGCCACGGTTGACTTGTGGAAAGGTCGGCATCTCATCGGTAAAAGGTGTAGGCCTTAAATAAGCGGCACCGTTTGGCATGAATCTTCGCAATGTGCTTCGTATGTATTGCGTTAAACTAAATCCAGGCGCAAAAGAATTATGAGAGGTTTTTTGTTTTGTTTTGTTTTGTTTTGTTTTTGTCTTGTCTTTGAGTACGAGTTAGATTATTGAAGAATTACAATAGAACCGTGCTTATTTATACGTAAAGCCGTCCGTTAATGTTGTAATATCGGGCTTACCATAATTCTCGACCAACACGTGCGTCTATTTTGATAATTTGGTAACAATCAAACAAAGGTTGTGATTGTTGTTATTTTACATTATATGAAACAATTAAACATATGACGAAGACCAAATTAGTTATTTTACATGAGCTAAATTTTAATTGTCATTTGCAAACCAATTCTTGATGCATTCTCTTCGTCTTATGTAAATTAGGTTTATTAATAATTTATAGAATTATTGTTAGCAAACCTTTTTATAAACTAATAATCAGAGTTAGTATTTAATATGTCAACAAATAATTCTTTTAAAAAAGGTATGCAAACGACCATAAGATGATAGTTCCTTGTTTATATCTTGTATATTATCTAAGCTAACTAATGCGACAATTGACTGGTAGTTTCCTTCTTCTGACATACAATTGTTAAACCAAATTTTTCATACTGTGCTATTTGTGAGAAATCTTATAAAATAAATTTTCTATTGTATAACAGATATATGCATAGTAACTGATAGTAACAAGTATTTACACACGATCAATGAGAAACAATAACGGTTTGCATACCGAAAAATCATTTATTGCATTGTTGTGCACTCTTATGACCCCATTAGCGAGAAACAATAAGAGAAGCCAATGAACCAATAAAAGAGTAGAGTCAGTCATGCGAGAAGACGGAAGCCAATCCCGCAATTGCAAATCTAGAACACCAGCCATCAATATGCTTTACGGCATGTATAACGATATAATAAACAAAACGGCAAGCCTTAACACAAACAAAGTGATGATATGAGCATGGGAATGTGAGAAACTTGTTGTTAATGAGATTCCGAGAGGTTCGCCCAACGTCACTATTCTTTGATTGATATCATCGTCGAGTCTAATTTTACTGTTAAGATAATACTCTAGTTGTCCATATTACATTATGGTCAAATACACAAATGGTGATACATAACAAACAAATAACGTTATCATGTTCCAAAGTAATTATTAAAATTTCTGTACCCACAGATCTTTCTGAAAATGCACACTTTCTCGCGCTGCATCCTCGGGCGATCTGTCCATTCTGAGGGGTACATGAACTCTCACAATTACTGTACTAAACAAAATAGTTGTACTAATCTTATCTAAGTACATGGAGTATATGAGATTGAACTCCCGATTCCGAAATTAAGCGATACGGCTTTTTTAACAATTACTTGCTAGATTTGTGCCAAATATTTATTAGTATTGATATATCGAGTATTCGTGTCAACCAAATACCCTTGTGTTGCATATAGTCTGTAAAATCTCACAAACGTACAAGTACAATTGTTATTCAATATTTTGTACTACTGCCAATTGTAAAGTTTAAAGTTGGGTAAAATCCGTTCGTCCATTGAATAGAAGAATCATTATCTCCGATTCTAAATTTAAATCTCCTCGTTTGCCTTTTTTTTTGTCTACCAAAACCTTAAGGAATTAATCGACATCAAGTCAATTCGATATTTTTGTAATGAGTTATACAAGCTCAATACCTATACGACTTAATCCAATAGTTGACCAAATTACGCTTCAAATGTGGCTTGCAGAACTCGACAATATAGTTGAAAATAAAACTATTGGTCGAATAACTAAACCGCGTATATCTCGTATCGCGTATATAGCGCACTGTAATTTAAAACTGACAGTGTTAAGTGTATTTAATGCTCAGGTACAATCGCAGATAAAGTGCCTCAAAGAGTAGTTAATGAAGATGAGCAGGTGCAACTAGCATCACATACTCAATTCTCCCTTCAGAATTTGTTAACATTTACTTCAAGTCATGTATCCTGACAAGTGAGCTTCTCAACAAAATGAATGGAATAGCATACACATTTGGTGAATTGTGAGCATGGCTTAACAGCTACCCTCTGGCCTCTCAACCAATAAGTGAACGTCTGGTAAGCTTCTTAATATTACTATAATACTATAAAAGATTTACTAGTTCTGCCTTATTTTAATGAAGTTTATACAGTAAGTTGCATATGACCAACTAGCATTTATTGCTGGCATACTTAGTTACTAATAGAGAATGCCAAGGATTTACAGTCATTAAGTTATTCATTCTTATTGCCAGATGGATATATTAATTATAATATGCTTTGTTGCTCTCTATGTGCAGGAGGCAATAGTGTGGCAAAATTGTACCAAATAATAATAAACAGTTATGATTTTATATCATTTGAAAGCTATTGTTCTTTTTATTAGTAATAATAATTTGCCTCTATGAATTTTTATTATAACTCAAAATTAAAAATAAAATTGATGTCAAAATTATGAGATTGACATTCAATTCAGTGATAAAATCTTTATATTTGTTACTAATCTTAATGTCTAGTTGGCTGACCATTATTGGCAATACATCTTCAATCCTTCTGGGTATACATACTATCAGTCTTTGTCGACGGTCACGGAAGAGCGGATAACTATCGACACCTAGGATTTCAACGGAGGTGTGGTCCTACTCGCTAAGTTAAATATAACGATGGTTAGTGACCTTTCACTCAGGTTTTACCTATTCACGACTCTCTAATAGTCGATCGATAGACGCTAATCCTCGATAAATACGTCGTTCCTCGGGTATATTCACTATTATTCGCCGATGGAATTAGTTTCGATGGTCCATAGTTCTGGGTGTTCGTATAATTGCGGGAATATAAGCGGGACAAGAGGCGAACACACCTAAACGATACAAGAATTAACATACTGTAATTTACCAGACAACGATATATTAATATTAATACTTATTTCAGAGTATAAAGAACTACTCGTTTATTATAAGAAAGGAAATTAAATCATTGTAATACTTTAGTGTAACTCTGGTTACGCAGAAATTAGGGAGGAATACGTCATTATTAACATTCAAAGCCCTTATTGTTTATCCGAGGAACACCATCGAATTATTGATAATGAAGACAAGCCCGTGAGTCTTGACCCTTTGCGGCCTCCATAAGAAGGATGTAGAGGCTGCTCGTTCTGCACAACGCAACGAGGTCTTTAAAATCAAAAACTAACTTGGGGCATTCCTTATTTTCCGGATTCTATGCTAAGACATAACGAATGTTCGTTAAGAAATGTCAACATCATCACATATACGTTCTCACATCTCCGTTAACTTCCACGACGTTGAGAAGTTTGAAGCTGTCAGGATGGCTTCCTTTTAATCTAGTTTATCGGATTGCGAACTATGTTGAGTAGAGAAATTACAACCTAGAGATCGTTGATTGCAATTTTCTCTCCCCGACAATGCCTCAATAAACGGGCCGCCTTTCATCACTGGTTCTTCCCTGCGATGTGAAAGAAATAATATACAGCATTTCCTTGTCACTGGAAACGGAAGAAAAAACATGAAGTGGCAGAAACAAATATATGTATGTAGTTTAGAATGAAGAGGGTTTAAAGAAATAATACCAGAGTTATAAAAGTTAGAGACAATTATTAATAAGATTTTCGAAGTGGATGTTGTTAAGCGTCCAGATAGGACACTTTGGAGGGATATCGACAAACTCATTAACAAGGATGACAACGCGTGGATGTTGATAAGCGTCCAGATAGGACACTTTGGAGAGACATTGACAAGCTTATTAACGAGATTGACACGGATGACAACGCGTGGGTGTTGATAAGCGTCCAGATAGGACACTTTGGAGAGATATTGACAAGCTTATTAACGAGATTGACAAGGATGACAACGCGTGGATGTTGATAAGCGTCCAGATAGGACACTTTGGAGAGACATTGACAAGCTTATTAACG